ATGTACACACATGTATGATAATGAGTTCACAAGAACATTGACAGGGATATCATTTATGTAGTCAAATACATTAGAAATCAATCGCTCAAATAAAGAACATATACAGGTATCTATCTGTCATCTATCTATCCAACTATCTGTGCAATGGAAGATTATATGACAGTAAAAAATGCATAAAATAAACTGCAAACCATAATACAGGTTAATTTTCAAACATTGTACTGAAAAATACAAAATAATTTTGAAATGTATGTGTGCAGGGATATTCAACTACATAAGGGTCAAAAGAAGCCAGTATTTATTATTTAGGGAGTAATAACTAAGTTTATTCCTATAAATAAAGGATGGAAACATGTCCCATGTAACGCATTATGGTGGTAACTTATAAGGTACTGTTGGAAAGTCTTCTTCAAGATGGAAAACCCAGGTTCTTATGCAACTGGTAATGCCCTTCTTGATGTTCATTTGTTGACTCCTAAGTCCACTAGTTTTTATTGGTAAATGTCATTTGACTGTCGATAACCTATATTTATTCTGCATACAATTTAATGATCTGGGATTGAAGCTGGTTGAAGAAAGCCACAATTATCATGGGTCAATTAAGAAAACATAAATTAAAAAGAACAAAAAATTTCAGAGACAGAAGACTAAATGTTACCAGAAACTTGGTAATAATGAGAAGTTGCTTCTTAATGGGTACAGAGTTTATGTTTAAGATAACAAAAAATGTTGGAGATAGAGGTAGTGGTTACATTGCATTGTGAAAGTAATTAATTCCAAACAAACATATGTTCAAAAATGCTTAAATGGCAAAGCTTGTATTATATATATTTTACCAGAATAAAAAAAATAGGCAATTAATTTTTAACAAGGCAGCTCTTGATCAGATATGGCAAATAAATCACATCTTGGCCATGCGATTCCCTCAGAGCATGATCATCACCTGCCTGTTCAGCCTCACCTGAGTCCGATCAGACAATGAGCCACTGCCCAGATGGAAATTGGGTCTCTAAACAAACACTTTGCCCAATATCACAGAGTATGCAATTTAAAAAAACTGAATGGGTTCTTCTGAGTATCTGAGCCCATTGTGTCTAATGAATTTGAATTGCAGTGAAGACCACCAGTATGGACGTGGGTTTATTTCAGAGATTGAGTTCAACCCCATTATGCAGTAGTTTGGGGATCATAGAAGGCTTTGTTTCATTCACCATACTCAAGATACCTGGTTTCTTCTTTCTTCTCAATGAGATGGAATTGAGGAAAGTTTATGGGCCAGAAGCAGCTCATCTTTTTTATGGAATTCCTATGTTAGAGTCTCTTCTATATCACGTTCTGAGAGTCTGTTCTCTCCAACCAGGTTATCTCCTCATCTGCTCCAAACTAGACAAGCTGGGCTGGGGTGGTCTCATGACCCTCACACGCCCCGCCCTACACCAACTGGAATGGGAGTCATGTGTACTGTGGGAAAACAGGGTCCAGGGTGGAATGCAGGAAAATCTGCACAGCTCTGATTTTAGGACAAACAGGGTCCCTGTGACTCTCAGCAACCATGATGCTTCTCAGCTGGGGACTTCTGTCTACACTTTTTCTTTCTCCTGGAGTTCTCAACTCTCTCCCATTCATTTAAGCTATGCCTCTGCCTCATTATCACTTGGGTTCTCAAACATCACATCATAAAGATTGACCTTCCATGGTACTCAAAGTGGCTACAATCCTCTGTTATCTAATCTTCAATCTTCAATGACTTACTGCTCATAACACACGCCATATATATTTGTGATTTTTTCTTGTTATCCATCCCATCCCCTAGTAAGGCTCAGAGAACAGGATCCATGTCAGTTAAGCACATATTTTGGTATTCATACTTGATTCATTATATGAAATAGATTTTACATTTATATATACACACTTTGACTGAATGGATGAATCAATAAATCGATTGTAAATGGAAAGACAGAGAGAGAAAAAAATAATTTCACACATACTGGCACACACTTCAATCTGTAGTAAATCCAACACTTTGCTGTTGCTTTCCCCTTGAATTTTTGTAAATTTGGTCCAGCTCTCAGTTTTTG